AAATTATTATTTTTCGCCTAGCGCTAAGAGCACATTGGTTCCTAATAATTCTTCTGACAGAGCCCAGTAACACTTCCGAAGAACTGGTACCTAAAAGGCAGGTTCCTAATATATTCCGCCAGGAGCCATTAGTGGTTCAGCAGACCACCTAAAAGATCACTAGAGACGAGTAGCGTACAATAACTAATAGTAATGGACTATAAAATAAAATGAAGGACAATAAGTGTTTTATTAAAATTTGAACACATTACATTAAAAATAATGATCTTAAACTCGGTGGTTCATCTTTTTTCTCTTTCAGGATTAGATGTGAAAAAAGCCCGGGCAACGTGCGCAGATGATCTCATCCCGCATACGTCACAGAGTTTTTACTGTTTTTTGACTAAATAAATCTAAATCTAAATGTTGGATATTTTGCCTGTATATAAGAAATGCCCTTTCCTTGACTATTATAAACACAGAGGGCATGAAAAGAATAACCAAGCACCTCGCCCACGATGCACTCTCGTCCCTCCGTGGGGTGCGCGATGATCTCGGCGATGTAGTACTTGCCGTACTTCTGCACGAAGCGCTTGCTGATTTTGTTGAAAATTGGCGCCAGATCGTCGTTGTCCGACTCTCTGCAAACATATCCAAAGCATTTCCCTCAGGACTAATACTCATGCCTCCAGTTAATACTCATGCCATTTGGAAGCTTCATGTTGAAATGGCCGTACTTTACAACCAGCCTAAAAATGTCACAAATGCTTGTCACATCTCTCGAGATAGGTTGTTAGTGATACCGGGCACGCCAACTACTAAGGTCATTAGTCCCGTAAGTGTAGTGTATTTTTGATCGGGATGAAGTGGTGGACTTCCCCGTTGTACGGCGAGATCCGGCGCCGACCTACCGTCGGCTAGCGGGCTTTTCTTCAACCAAGTATCTCCCACCAGCGGGGCAGTACCCGAACAAGCTCTCGATCGTTCATCCGGTATGCCTGGTAGTGTAGTGCATGTGTGGGTAAGTGAGGTGTGAGGATAAGGAAAGAAAGAGGAAGGAAAGATCGCCCGCGGTCCGTGGCTCGTTTGTTAGGGTACTGCTCCGGAATTCGTCTGATTATTATCGGAGTAACCACGATAAACTACCGATCAGAGCAACCGGCAGCTCGAATTCTCCTCCTGAAAGCGACTCAATTCGACCTTGCTGTCAAGCTAGTATGGAAATTTCTGACATCGTCGGAACTTGAACCTAGGACCCCCAGTTAGCGGGACTGCAGCGACATCAGTTCATGTCCTGAGCCATCTCTCCCGTTATCTCTCAAGGGGAAAGTGTGACAATGAGGGACTACTGATGTCCGGTACGGTAAGTTTATTAGTTCATTAGTCTTGTAAGTGAAATGCGTTTTATATCCCGGGATGTAGCGGTTTGCCCCTCGCCGGAACGTGAGATCGGAGCCGACCGTTACGAAGGCTGGATGTTTCTCCCTCTTTTATGGTATCTCCCCGCAGTGGAGCATTACTCCAGCCGGGATAACCTCTAAAGCTCCCAACTGGTCTCCCGATATGTGTGGTAGCGCAGTACATGTAAGTGTAAAAGTGTTAGTATGTACGCGTAGAGGATACGTAGATAGATTTATTTAGCCTTCTGAGCTATTTGGGATATATTAAAAATACGATCGTATTTATATCTATAAGTATTGTGCTTTAAATATTTGAAAAAATAATTTTATATTTTACATGTTTTATTTTTTTCTTTTCAATTCTTTAATTTTATCACAATTTTTAATTCCTGAATGCAATTTAATTCTAAATCCTTCATGAAATAATCTGTGGTTTGTCTAGAAATGTTTACCTCCACTAATGACTAATGTTGTGTTAGTCTTGTATCTCTAGTTTTATTTTTCATTCTTTGTAATTTACTTACTGTATTTTCTGTGATCAGAGTTTAATTAATGTATAAATAGAAGTTAGAGAACCAAGTATGAGACAAAAAGATTGCGTGCAATCCTTGGCCTGTTGCTCTGGCATTCGGTATTGATCGGAAAAAGCGCAGAAAAGTATTGTGCGGAAATTTGCTGTGGCACGGTCTACTCACACGGCCTTGCGCATCATGAAGCGGGGCACGATGCTGTGGCGCGTGCAGATGGCGAGGCGCTGGAGCGTGTTGCTCTCCACCGAGCTGCGCGCGGGGTCGAGCGGGTTCTCCACCATGAAGAACTCTTCCATCACGTCCGCTGCGCATGCAATCGTACATTCTGTTACGCCGCATGGTCACAATTCAGTAACCAGAGTGGGGGCGTCAAGCGGCTGTCAGATATTAAGGGCTTGAAGCAGAACCAAGATAAGCCCCAATAGCCATATAAATATGCCAAGAATAGACATAAAAAGCCTCGTGCTCCTTGTAAATGTTTATATCTGGATTGTGGTTGAAATTATATTACGAATAACTTAAGGGTTGGTATGACAAGTGTGTTTTATCTTGCTTTCTTAGACGCTAACTATCCTGAAGCTGAAGAAAGCAAAGTTAAATGTTAGGGGAAAAGTCGTTGTGTTGTTGAATTTTCTTGGAAAAGTCCAATGCACTCACAAACGAATTCTCTAACTGTAGAACGCAGGACACCTTCTTCTGAGGCACACAACTCACTTGGGGCAGGTATGCCCTATCGAGGACGTGACCTCCAGCGACTTCTGTTGGCGACTACTCAAATATCCTTCTTTTGAATTGCATGTAATTTGTTTAGAGACGTTGCTTTATAACTGAGGTATAAAGCTTAGAAATCGGTCCATTTCGTTTTGAATAACCTTTGCATTTAGTAATATATTACTATCATTTTCGGCAAGTTTATGTCAAAATATTTTCAGTTTTTGATGGATGACAAGATCAAAAATATTTTGAACATTTTCTGTACTTGCAGTCCGTGGACACAGACTGTCACGTGTTTTTTAGGAACTTGTTCTCCATTCACTATATTGCTTGGAAGGCACAACTGATAACTAAATTGCAATTGGTGTCTATGCTCCAGGTGGAGGGTTACGGTACTCACGCAGCGCCACGAGCGGCGGCAGCACCAGCACCACCTGCTGGATGTAGGCGTGGCGCAGGAAGACGGCGCGCAGCATGGGCAGCAGGAAATCGTGTGCGTAGCGCCGTTTCCACAGCAGCAGGTGGATGAACAGCGTGTTGCGCTCGTCCGCGAACTCCACTCTGCGCACACGCACTACAACTGTTTCAGATTAATCTAACAAACTTCTACTGCACGTTGAGAGGTCGAAGATGATTACATTTTGCCAATGAATATGTTGTGGGAAAAACAGGGGTGTTCACAGATAATAAACTGATTCCTAAGCTCTATTTATCAATTATCAAGCTCATTTTGGAAATGAATCGAATATCATTCACAAGGGCGATATTCTAAGTTTTGAATTGACGCCGCTCTGATTGCCACGCTCTACCTAGAATTGATCTCCTCCCAGGTCAGTTACTTCTCTCTTTTCAGGGAGTTACGTTTCAAAAACAGAAGAGAACAAAAAAGCTGTAGTTCCAGGATTGGTATGCGGTGATGAAGCTCTGCTGGCCACCTAATTACTGGCTCCTTCTCCTGCGTTTTGCATTTTCATTTGGTTTTTGTGTTTTTGAACCTCTAGTGAATGCTTGTTTATACCAGTTTCATAGAAGTGGTTGCTTAGCATTTTAGTTTTTAGTTCTACTACGAGTATATGTAAATGGCCTTGATGCCTTGACATTGGTATTTGCCTGTAGTTCATATAATGAATAAATATTTAATATTCGAATATTTTCAGCAATGGGTACATTTGTGAGGCAACGTTTGCACCGACGGCGAGACAGTTAATAGTATTACGTGTAATAATAATAATAATAATAATAATAATAATAATAATAATAATAATAATAATACATTTTATTATTATTGTTATGCTTACTATATGTTGATTATAATAACAATCATGTGTATTTTTTCGTTCACTTTCGAGAAATGAAAAAACATATTTTTGAAATGCTGTAGCTTACTTGGTAGTTGGTTTCGAAATATTTTTTTTACAAAAGTTACTGGAAGACTTATCCTCCTTTAAGTTAATTTGAATTTCTACAAGCCTTAAGATTAAAGAGTTAGAGAGAAAAACTTGACCAAAGACCGAAAAATCTGTTGTTTTTTTTCGGGAATTCAGATATTAGGTCAGGATCTAGGAGGTTTTTACTAATGCATTCTAAATGCCCAAAGAAAAAGTTTTCATGACCTTTTTGCAGGAAAAATTTATTTACAGAATAGACTATTCGGTCAAAGTATCGTTTCAACTACCTATCAATGGACGGAATGGGTAAAATGTTGAATAAAAATTGTAGTTGTTTAAATTTTAAAAATGCATAAATCTAATGAATCACATCTAACTAGTGGTGCTACAGAATGTCACAGACTTTCTCGCACTACTTAGTTTTCAAATCTCTTTAGTCCAGGCTAGCTTTTAAGTATTGCCTCACCTTCTTCCTAGGTGCTGCCTATCGGCACCTCAAACACATTTTTCACATTTCCTCACTTTTTCAGTTCTCTAATAGAATAGAAATATTAATAAAATATGTTATAGAATAAATCATGGTCATTTATGCAAATTATCATTTAAACATTTGTAGCAGTTTTCTTTAGAAATTATCGTTTTTGCTTTTTTAAATGGGCAATTTTAAACATTTTTTATAGAAAAAAATTTGTCTTTTCGAGAAACTTCATCAGATATAATTTGAAGCACTTACGCTCACAAATGGAATAGAGTATAAAAATCAAAAATAATACATCAAAATGTCATTAATGCCGCAATATTTAATGTCTTCCGTACAAAACGTTTGTATAAAAATAATAATAATATTTATTATTATATTATATTATATTATATTATTATTATATATTATATTATATTATTATTATATTATTATTATTATTATACATTATACCATGTATCTTTGGTGTATTATATTTTAGGAGGATTCGATAATACTTTGCATGTATTAATTCAAGCAATTAGGCCTAAAAACTAATTCTATAGGGGGGGGTCACAAATTCGTCCTGATCTTGGACAAGTGCATACCCATAAAGATTCTGAATCCATTCAAGCCATGCAAAGGAAGGTACAGCCGGCACATTCGGGTACTCGAGCAAGGCGATGTAGCCCACTATTACTCCTTCTGCGTTGATCTGAGTCAACGCCGTGTGAGCCAACTCCCTGAAATGAGAGATATAAATGAGTGACACACAAGGACTCTAATAATTAAGTTTTAAGTAATAAGAAACACCTTCCACAAATTCGTACTTTTTCTCAGTTATAAGGAAGGTGGAGTAGGCGAAAAAGCATGTTGTATCATTTACATATATTTTGTTTCAATTTCGTAGGGCTTCAGGATACGCAAGATTGATCGGAGAATAATCATTTCTAGAAATATCACGATTTCTGTTAACAGTCGAGTACCACTGGCTTTGGGAGGGGGAGGGGAGGGG